ACAAAGTTATACGAACCACCAAGTGGAAGTATTTCAGACTTTCAAGTATGGTTTACTACAGATGGAAGAAAAAGAATAATTCCATTATACCATGCGTTTTACTTAGAACTTAGTTTCATATACAACTACTATCGAACGGTAAAAATATAATTTTTTAATACGGTTGAGGTGTTGGATTTGGTTGCCAACTAGACTGTGGTGCAGGTTCAGGCTGTTGTATAACAGGAGCTTGTTCTTCTGGTTCAGGGTCTTTAGGTATAATACCAACAAACTGACCTACTCTTTTACCAATATTTTGACACCGTTCCATACTCCTCTTCCGACAGATTTTATTCCATTCCATATACCTCTTCCAACATTTCGAAAGAAGTTTCCAATACTACTGAAGAAACCCATTTTACTATATGTAAAAATCTAATGTCCACCTAGTCTCTTACGTTTCCTGTTGAGTTCCATAGCATTCTTTAACTGGAGCTCATACATTCTGTTTCTCTTTAGAAAACATATTCTGGGTCAACTCCTGTGTTCGCGTCATCTGCATAAAGTTGTTTATATCCCACTTCGGGGTTTGTATAAAACTCTTTCCATCTCATATTTGCATACCATGGTGGCAAACCTAACGCAGCGTCATTTGACATGGCAGTTTGCATTTGTACATCTGTTGGCACTTGACCATAGTTTGCCATTGCAGTTTGTATTCTAACTTCATTTGGAATATTCTCTGGGTTTGGTTGTCCAGGTTGCTGTGCATTCGCTAAGTTCTGTGCGTCCATTTAATATTAGATAAAAATATCTCTTACGAGTACATATACTGAACATTTGCAGGCATTGGTTCATCTTCATATTCTCTGTACTTTTCTGCCACGTCAAAGAAATAAATGACACAATGGAAAAAACCTAAAACAAGTAGTCCTATTTCAAACCACATTTACTTACTAATAAAATTTCTTTGTTATGACACTTTCTCCAGTTTATAGGACCTCTCTCATATTCTATCTTGTCATATATAAACTCATAGTCATGTATGTCTTCTAACCATTTCATAACGGTTTCCAAACCACTTTTATCGGATGTAAAGTAAAAGCATGGATGGTTATGTATAACGTCTAAAGTTTCTAAAGAGTCTCTCAAAGTCCAGTCTACTTGGTATTGAAAATCCCATGTGTTATAGAACGGCGGGTCCACTATAAAGAAAACATTTTCCTTGTCTTTATATTTTTCATACAAATCTGTCCAATGACATCTCACAAACTCTATACCCTCAATATATTTTTCTATGTCCTCTTTGAAAACATTTGTATAGTTAAGATATAAAACTTTTGACATAAGTGTTTCAATGTCATGAACTCTTATAGCACCACTATATAATAGTCTAGCAGATATACTATCCCAGTCTATATATTCTGCTTTTTTCAAAACCTCTCTCACAATATTTTTGTTATCTAATGGTATACGTTCCATCTTACCTATAGGTATCTTTTCTTTTAACTCTTTCAATATATTGTTTGTGTCTGGTATATGTTTGAGACGGTCCATATAGTTGTCGAAGTCATTGCATATAATCTTTGAGTCTGGGAATATTATATGACATAAATGGGATATATAGAAACTTCCACCGAACAAATCTACAAATGTTAGACCATTCGGTAGTTTCTTAAGTTCTCTCAATATAATATCTTTACATCTACTCTTATTTCCAAAGAACGGTAACGGCGGTTTTGTAAAATTCATTTATATATAATAATAAAAATGTTTTTTCCTGAAAAGTGACAGAAAAGTGACAAAACATTTACGATGAAGAAGTTTCGACAAAACATTTACGAAGAAATCATGAGTTTTCTACCCTCTTGAATTTTCATGAAATTTACACCAAAAATATATTTTATGTTAGAATGTTAGATCTAACATGTTTTCTAACATGTTTTCTAACATCGTAGAAAACTCTTGAAAATCATGAAATTTACACCAAAAAATAATGTTTATGTTAGAATGTTAGATCTAACCTTCTACCCTAAATTATATTTTTGGGTCCTTTACGCTCATTACGAAGAAGTCTTGACAAAACATATACGATGAAGAAGTTTCGACAAAACATTTACGAAGAAATCATGAGTTTTCTACGATGTTAGAAAACATGTTAGAAAACGTGTTAGATCTAACATTCTAACATAAACATTATTTTTGGGTCATTTACGCTCATTACGAAGAAGTTTGACAAAACATTTACGTTCATGTTTGACAAAACATTTACGAAGAAGAAGTTTGACAAAACATTTACGATGAAATCATGACAAAACATTTACGAAGAAGTCTTGACAAAAAAGTCAACGGCTGGTCGGCTGGGGTTCGGTCCTCCTCTTGGGTCTTGGGCAAAATTTCTTATGGGCTGGAAGCCCTCCGAATAAAAACTTCATTTATACTAAACATCTTCAGGGCTAGAAGGCACGAAGTGCCTGGAAGCCCCACTTCCTTTTTTTTTTTTTTTTTTTTTTTTTTTTTCATTCGAAAGGAATGGAAATATAGTTATGGGAAAATCGAGGAAAACGATGAAATTCAAGGAAAATCTGACACCAAAAATTTTTTCTTTCCGAAGTCTTTTTTCTTATTTTTCTCGGTCTGTGATTTGAAAAAGTATGTTATTGTGCGAGAAGATATACTGTATTATATGTAAAAAATGCATGTGCTTAATTAAAATGTGTTTTTACTAAGTTAGTGTGAAGTTCTTGAAATCTCTGATTTCAAAAAAATCTCAAAGCTGGAGGCTGAATGAGGTACAGGAATATTCTTTACAATATATATGTTGTTCGGGTATTGCTTTTGTCTCTCCATTGTTGCTCTGTGAGTCTCTGTATTGGGACAAAATCTCAAATTTCAACAGCTTACAAAGTAACCAGCGAAAGTAATATCTCAGATCAGAGAAATACCATAATATATAGATATAATATCTTAAGTGAATTATAGTTGTCGTAGTTATTATACTGCTTTTAATGCTATGTATAGAGTTATAATGAGTAAAATGAAATTTTTGAATGAGCATTCATTGATGCAGACGAGCCCATGGTTGACTTGAATTGCTGAATGTTAGCATATATACTTTAATATATAAGTGTATATAGTATATGAATTACTATGTTTCCGTCTGGGATTGTAGCTTCTCACTGTTACTTTTATTTTATCCTTGTGAACATAAAAAAAAAGTTATTCGTTTCCGTTTCACATAGGAATTTTTAACAGAAATCTCAGCAGGTAATATTATATAACAATCGTATGTGTTCCATAACAACCATTATAACAGCTTAGGAATGAACTTTCTCCTTTGGAATTATTACTTCATTCAAATTTGTAAAATTTTGAAAAACGTCAGTAAGTTGGTTGAAAGGTTAAATGAAAATCAATAAAGTCGCAATAACAATGATGTATATTTTGAGTGGAATCTAGCATACTGTGAAATTTTTGATTTAAGTAGAAGTAGAAAGGAGAACTGTGAAATTATGAAATTAAAAAAAAAAAAAAAAAAAAAAAAAGGTAGTGGGGCTTCCAGGCACTTCGTGCCTTCTAGCCCTGAAGAAATTTTACCCAAGAGGAGGACCGAACCCCAGCCGACCAGCCGTTGACTTTTTTGTCATGATTTCATCGTAAATGTTTTGTCAAGACTTCTTCGTAATGAGCGTAAATGACCCAAAAATAATGTTTATGTTAGAATGTTAGATCTAACACCTTTTCTAACATGTTTTCTAACATCGTAGAAAACTCATGATTTCTTCGTAAATGTTTTGTCGAAACTTCTTCTTCGTAAATGTTTTGTCGAAACTTCTTCGTAAATGTTTTGTCATGATTTCATCGTAAATGTTTTGTCATGATTTCATCGTAAATGTTTTGTCAAACTTCTTCGTAATGAGCGTAAATGACCAAAAATAATGTTTATGTTAGCATGTTAGATCTAACACGTTTTCTAACATGTTTTCTAACATCGTAGAAAACTCATGATTTCATCGTAAATGTTTTGTCAAGACTTTCTTGTCTATGTTTTGTCAAGACTTTCTTGTCTAATTTCTCATGAACTTTCATCGTAAATGTTTTGTCGAAACTTCTTCATCGTCAATGTTTTGTCAAAACTTTCTTGTCTATGTTTTGTCAAGACTTTCTTGTCTATGTTTTGTCAAGACTTTCTTGTCTAATTTCTCATGAACTTTCTTGTCTATGTTTTGTCAAAACTTTATTGTCTATGTTTTGTCGAAACATTTACGATGAAATCATGAAAATTCATGAAAATTCAAGAGTTTTAGACCATGTTAGAAAACATGTTAGAAAACATGTTAGATCTAACATTCTAACATAAATTATATTTTTGGGTCCTTTACGCTCATTACGAAGAAGTTTGACAAAACATTTACGAAGAAGTCTTGACAAAACATTTACGATGAAATCATGACAAGATAGAATATGAGAGAGGTCCTATAAACCGGAGAAAGTGTCATACAAACATCTGTCAAAAACCGTTTTTTACTTCACTTAAAATGCCACGTAAGCTACGTAAGAATATACGTAAGAGGAAGAGAGCATTGAAACATCCAATAGTAAAACTAACACCACAACAACAGTTGCAACAACAAATGCTGAATGACCCCACTATGTTGCAACAAATGTCAAGCAACCCTATGCTTTTAAACCGAGTTCTTGGTGCACAGAGTGGAGGTTTAAGAGCGGCACTTTTAGCGAAAATGGCAGGCTATGGTGGAGCTGCAGACGGAACAGCCTATAACCCTCAAAGTCAAATGAATTTGAGTTCACTCAAAAATCAAATATCAGATGTCAAAAAGTCAAACATAGACATACAGAAACAAATAAGTGAAAACGAAAAGAAACTAGAATATGACAGACACACAAAGAAACTCAATGAGTTAAACGTAGAGAAAAAGAAGAAAGAAGAACAACTGAAAGAACTAAGTACAGAGGAATATGCAAAAAAAGTGTCAGAAAAAGCAGCAGAAGTAGCAAAAATGGAACAAGATGTCATAAATTTGAAAAACCATACTACTCAATATAAAGTACTGAAAGATGAAGAGATAAAACAAAAAGCCCTGAAGACATATATGGATAGCGATGAGTATAAAAAAGAAGTTGAAGCAAATGTAAAGGCAGAAAAACTTTTACAGTTGCAAAACCAAACCGTACAGTATGAAAACTTAGCACAAGAAAGTAAAAATAACGACGCGGCTATGCAAAAGGCAATGAAAAGCGCAGAATATATAAAAGCTAACAATGACTGGTTAGATGCCCAAGCCAACGCTAAAGCAGCCCAACTCATAGGGTCAATAAGGACAAAAATACAAGCGGATGAAGATAGTTCAAATGAAGCTTTAACAAATGCTGACTTTAAGAACGCCTTCGAAGCTCTTCATAGTAAGGTGAAACTAGTGAACGACTTCTCATCTGGAAAGAAACTGAAGTCTGAAGGTTTCGACAAAGAGTTAAAAGAAGTAGCACAAAATATGACGAAAATAACAGATGCAGCAACGAGACAGGCAGTTCAAAGTGCCTATGACGCCGTTAGAGCAACTGTTGTGAAAAGTCAAGAAAAAGAGTTACAACAGACCAAAACAGACCTAGTAAATGCTTTCTTAAAAACGAAAAGTCAGGTAGGACATTACGCTGCAGATGGAACATATGTGCCAGCTGGTGGAACTTATATACCACCAAACCCTCCAAGAGAAGCACCTGCACCAGGACTACCTAAAACATTTACATCGTCACATGGACACAGACACAGGCATGCACCAAAACCAACACAACAACCAACACAACAACCAACACAACAACCAGCACAACAACCAGCACAACAACCAACACAACAACCAACAGTTCAAAACCCTGCACAGCAACAACCACAAACAGAGCAAGGACATAAAAGAAGTAGAGAACAAGGAAACCAAGAATTCTTAAAAATGCTAAAGGAAAAATATGGTTACCCAGATACTATTGACTTTAGTGACAGATATAAAGAAGCTATTAGAAAGTTCAAGGAAGAAAATACTGACCCGAACCTATTTAGCTTTATGGCTCAGCATAAAATCGGATATAATTTCAAACCTGGAAAATACAAGCTCGCTAAGGGATATGATTTAATAGCATATCGTCCAAATGACATGACTGAATTTACTCCGAGATATTTTATGTCAGAGATAAATGATGATTCAACTATCTTCATGAAACGCGTAAAAAATAGAGACGGAACGAAAGAAGAAAGGCTTATGAATGCCAGATGACTTAAATAGGGAACTTGTTAAAAACGGTCTCGGAATATATGAAATGCCAGCAGATGAGGTACAAGAAACTCCACAGGAAGAAGTTCAGATACAACCAGACATGGAAGAAATAGTTCAGCAACAACAGCTAGAAGAGCCTGAAGGAAACGAACAAGTCCCTCCTTTGGAAACTAACCTCACAGAACTAGATGAAGATTTGGAACAGACCGAAAAATCTTGACCCTCAACAAGAGTATGCGGAGAATATGGAATATTCCAAGAGTCTAAGAAAGATTCGGCTGACATAGTAGAAGAATATCGAAAAATGTTTGCCGACATACAAAAGACTCCAACACCAGATGAAAATATTCAGCATAGAATGGAAGAACTGAAAAAAAATGTACACAAATACAAAACCCTTTTACTTACGAGCATTTAACGTTCAATCTTCGGATGAACTCGGTGAAGATAAAAGGTTAAATTTCAAGAAAACATATAGAAATGAAACATTGTTTAAAGTTCATTCAGAACCTAACCAAGATGGAAACAAACCTACTTTTGTTTCTGCAGACGATGGAACTACAATGAGATGGGGTCATAAAGCTAACCCGGATAGGTGGTCATAAACTTACAACCACAATTCCAAGAAGTTGTAGACGCAATGGAAGTGAATGGTGAACCAGATATAGCTGGTATTTTCAGCGCGGCTTTAATGCCATTGAAAGATATGAAACATGCAGATATTTTGGACCAGTATGAAATGAACATGGCTGATGGAAATATAACACCTGACGTTCTAAAACATTTATCTCAAAGAACTACACAGAACCATAGAGATGGTATATTTGGTGAAGAGTTTAGAAAGAAAGTTAGGGAGGGAGAAGGAAGAGAACCTATTGTACATGACCTTGCAAACGAAAGTTTACAAAATGTCATAAAAACTTACTTTGCAGACAATGAACCGAGAAGGATGAATATTTAAGAAAACTCAAATGGACAGTACCAAATGAAATGTTAGTATTGAAAAACATGTTCCTTGACAAAATAAAACCAACTACAGAAATAAATGACGCAAGACTGAAAGATTGGGTAAAAGCTTTCCCATTCACAAAAGATATAGTTGGTAACATGGAAAGAAAACCAGAATGGCTACAAAAACATATATTTGGAAACGAGCATATTCCATATGGACAGGCACTGTTTGAAGAGCTTGAACCGGAAACTCAGGAAAGAGTCATGCAAACAATACGCGAAGACTCAAATACAGACTATGACAAACTCTTTCTAGGATATAGGTTACCTGAGATGGGCGACCAGAGCCAAAAGGCAAAAGGACATGGGAAATTTGCAACATACTAGATGAACATAATGCAAAGATGCAACAACTTCAAGCAGAGGGCAATGAAGGAAAAAGAAGAGTTAAAAACTCAGTCAGGAAGAAAGTAAAGCTTGGTCCACGTGGGTTCTATTATGACATATAAATCCAACTATTCTATATTTTTACCCATATGAAATGTACGCCGCTCAGAATATAACGCCAACAGTTTTGGATGCATGAATGGAAATGTTTCCGAATGGTATAACGAATGCGACAATGCATTAGAAGGTCAGAAATAGTTCCTGGAACTTACGAATATACAACTGCTGTTTCTTATGGAAACGTAGGTGAGTTTGGAGAAGGTTCTTCAACAACAGTAGATATTGCTTGCGACAGGTTTCATATTATTTCTATTGACAACTCATTCTTATACGTGGAACAAGACATTGAAATAAAACCTTCTGCCAAGTTGTCTGACAAGAAAGGTTGCAATGGAATTTTCTATGTCGGATACCAATATGCTCCAGAAGTTTTCATGGGATATAAGATATATTCTAACTCTGACTTAGTTCAAACAGTAACATGGGCAAACTATGAATGGTTCGCTTTGAGAAACTCAGTACAACCACAAGCTAGAGAACAAACAGACCAGTATGCAACTATGAGAAAATAAGAAGACTTGACCCTAACGTTCCAGGAGTTTATGTTGACCTTTCTGGACAAATGCAGCAGCAGTAACCAAAGTAAAATTGAAACTTAGAGTTCCTTTGTCATCTTTCCTCATCTTCAGGTTTTTAAGATACTTGCCAAACTGGGCAGGAAAAATTTCTATCGAACTTACTCCAAGCAAAAATAACTTAGTCATTGCACCAACACAAGACCCATTCACTCTTACAGAAGTAGTGGGAACAAATAAAATGTCATTCGCCGACTTTTGCAAAAACAAAGTTGACTTAGACTTTGGTTTCTCAAACCTCAACACTGAAGTAAACTATTATTTCAATGCTGCTGGAGATGCTTGGGACCCAGTTAAGTTCACATGCGAAAAATTTGAATGCAAGAGAATAGAAAGCAGACTTGCAGTCTATATGTTGGACCCAGATATTTCAAATGCTTTAGCTGCCAAATATATTGCAGTTCCACTTATGTTCCCTATACACCAAATATCTGTCAAAGACTTTGCAGGTGAAGTTGGAAACCAAAGTGCTGACCCAGGTGCAAGAACAGATATTGCTTTAACAACTGCAATGAAACATGCAGATACTATGTTTGTACTGTTCAGACGAACTATAAATGACTATTCTTGTTTCTACAACCCCGGTATTAAATATCATATAAACATAGATGGCAAATATTATCCAAGAGAAGAATATTCTACAGTTGAGGATATGAGGTCATACAACTTGACATTAGATGCTATGAACTTTAACAACAACTTCACAACAACCATTAACCCTGAAATGCAAAGTTCTATTATGCCATATGTGAAAGTATGGACTCATACAGGAGGTCAAAAAAACTCAATATACAAATGGAGACCGTTCAAACTTTTGGCTTGGCATTCCATTTGCTGACTCAGAAGACTTTATGGGTGGTATTTCAACTGTTGGTACAGTTCAAATACAATATACTGGTGACAGAGACGGTCCAGATGAATTGAAAGCAAAGAAGTTTACAAAACCAATAGCACTTTTCACGGAAGATGCTCTTTTGAAGATTCGTTCGATGAAACCTGCTGGAGCTCCTCAGATTGGCATAACGACAGCTTCCATCGAGCAGATTTTGGCAGCAGGTCAGTAAGTTGTTCTTGAACTGACTTCTCTCCGTCAAATATTGACAGTACGCCAGTTTTGACATAATATTGTATTATAAACTTTCCTTTAGTAATATCTGTAAGTTTTGAAGTTATATTTTTGTCTGCTTCAAGAACTTTCACCATCTCGGTTATACCAACTTCTTTGCTTTATGAAAATATTTTGGTTCAGCAAAAGACTGCTATTCTATAACATTTTCCATTGTTTGTGTAAAGAACTATTCTGTCAATGTATTTGTATTGTTTGTGAGTATAAACCTTGTTTTGCTTCAATTCGAAGAGATACTCAAATACGTCCATCTTTTTATTCTAAGTAAAATGTCATTTCCGAAAAATAGAAGCGTAAGTGTTTCAAAAGGTTTAATGGCGGTGGCAGATGTGAAGTTAAATTCACCAACTCAAACAAACAGTCAAAGTGTTGTTGTCAATGTCAAAGAAAGAGATGTTGAAGTGGGGAAACCATACGAAGACGAAGATGGTATAACAATAGTTCCTGTAAAAGAACAACCAACATATCCTGAAGTTAGCAGAGACTTAAGTTCTGTTGCAGATATTCGAAACGACTACCAACAACTGAAAGACAAACTTCAAACTCAGGAGAAGATTTGTCAAGCTTTAAGTATAATGTTAAACTTGGTCGAACACAACCCTGTAAAAGTGAACTCATATGTCATTGCACCTCATGAAGTTTTGAAAGAACTATTGAAACTTTTGACAGAGGCAGACGATATAAACATCAAAGAAATAGAACCCGACATTAGTTGCTGTGGTGTTTATATAATGTCATTGACAAGATATACGTTATGAAAGGAGGTGAAACGTTGAACTTAAAATATAGTTTCCCAGACGTTATAAAAATATTTGACGACCACAACATTTCATTAAAATTTATTTGCTAAGTAAATGGCAGAAGACATAATGGTTTATACTATTACGACTAAAAACCCTGAGTCATATAATTCTATAACAACAAACTTACAAAGTCTCTCAAGGACGATATTGTAAACTGACCTTAAACACGATGACGACTAAAGCCTGTTTTGCTCTTTTGACACCAGAAGACTTTATTGTTGTGAATGGTAAAAAATACTCCTTTGAAGATACTTACTCAGATATACCACCAACAGGTTTTGTTGACTTATTTAATACTTTAAGTACGGGTGTAACATGTGCTGCAACTAGAGCAGGTTTCATTATGTTTGGATGTCCGACTGAGTTTACTATAAACGATATGAGCTATAATACAAAACTTATTTCTGGTTTTTACTACCAACAGTTTCCTATAACAGGAAAAGGTGTCATACAAGGAATGTCTATTCCATTGACTTTAAGCACACCTATTTTATATATTGTTTCAAACTTAGGTTCAAAGTGCTATTCGAATGTCGACAGAAACTATTATGACCAAAAGATACTTATGCGTATAAACAACACTTTCTCTGCTGGTTTGCCTATTGTTCATTCGAATGCAGAGTTTTCAGCTTTAGTAAACTCAAACACTTTAGCAAGTATAACGTTGACATTAGTTGACGCAAACTTTGTTCCTGTAAAACTTTTATGTCCTATGTATTTGTCAATGACGGCAGAAAGTTTCGAATTGGAAGATGCAACTGGTGAAAGTATTGTATTACAAGAACAACTTCAACAACAAATAGCTCAAGAACAACAAATGCAACAAATGCAACAACAAAGTCAAGAATAAAAAAAATATTTTTTTTATTTTTATAAAAATGTACAGAATAGATGTTTCAGATTTTTATGACTTCCAAGCATTCAGAAATATGTGTCCATTTAGAGACTATAACAAAGCAGTCGAGAATTTGAAACGTTTAGTCATTTATGTTGACTCTGCCCCAGAATGTTATGTCATGAAAGAATGGGATGTTGTCTTTAACAAACCAAGAGCAACAATAGTTTCAGAACAAGAATGTAGACAGAAACTTAAGAAAATAAAAGTCGTACAAGTTGGTATGAAGATGTTAGATGCTTGGGATATCTTATTGTCAAAACTTGAAGATTTTTCAGTTCGAGGTATAAAGTTCTATACACCTTCTCCAAACTTCTATTCTATCTTCACTGGATATAAATACGAACAAGTAGAATGGAAAGAAAATATTATAGAAGCTTGGTTAGACCATGTCAAAGAAATTATATGCAATGGAAACGAAAAGGTTTATGAGTATATCTTATGTTGGTTTGCAAACATCTTACAACATCCAAGTGCTAAGAATGAAACTGCTCTCATTATAATTGGAAAACAAGGAACTGGTAAGAACACATTCTTTACAGATATCTTATGCAAACTATTAGAAGGTTATTCGAACCCTAATATGACAAACTTAGAAAACATCTGTGGCAAGTTTAACTCCTCAATAGAGAATATGAAACTTATAGTTTGCAATGAACTTCAAAGTATAGATACAACAAAAGTTTTGAACTCAGATGCTTTGAAGAGTCTTATAACAGACAAAGTTGGAGTTGTTGAAAGAAAGTATAAAGACCAAAGAGTTTGTGAAAATGTTGCAAACTTCATTATGGTTTCAAACAATACTGTTCCGATGAAGTTAGAAAGTTCTGACAGAAGATATGTAGTTGTCAGAACGTCAGATTCTCATATGCAAGATACAGAATATTTTGACGACTTAGCAGAAACTTTGACATCTGACTTTTACAACCACTTGTTCTCATATTTTATGACATTAGATATTTCTAAGTTCAATCCAAGACAAATTCCATATACCGAAGAGAGACAAACATTGTTAGAAGCAAACAAGAGTGTATATGAACTGTTTATAGATGAGACTAACTTTGAGTGTTTAGATGAAAGGTCATTGTACGATGAATATAAACAATATTGTCAAGAGTATGGTTATATGACAGCGTCTAAACGAACATTCTTGGCAAATGTCAAAAGTCTTTTAGATGTTCAGAACGGCGTATATACAAAGAAAAATTTTTCTGAGTAAATTTTAAAAAAAAATATTTTTTTTATCCGATAGAAAAGATGACAGAAAAATTAACTTTTTACATAGCGCCAGACCCTTCTTGCCCACATCTTTTTAAGCCACAATATATAGACATAGAACTAAATAGAGAAAGCGAAATTCTACAAACAGAAGAAACATATAGAGACCTAGATAACGAAAATGGATATGCGCTATTCTGGTTAGGTTGTCCTTATGAAATGTATGAAAAAAAGGCTTTATATGAAGAATATAGAAAATATTGTCATGAAAACGATATAAGACCAAGCTCTAGAGAAAAATTCTATGCTGGTATAAAACATCTTTTCAAAGTTCGGAATGGTGTATATAGAAAGAAATAATTTTTCTGAGTAAATTTTAAAAAAAATATTTTTTTATCCGATAAAAAAGATGACGAAATTCATCTCAGTAAATAAGTACATGACAGAAGTCAAAGATAAGTTAGCTCCATTCGCATATTTGAATGTTTACTTCTACAATTTTGAAAAGTCTACATTTGACAAAATTTGGAACATTGCACCAGTTAAGTTTGCTGTTGTTAGAAAAAGTGGTGCAACTTTTGAAGACTTAGACATAGAAGGTTTGTTAACAGTCAAAGAAAATTTTGACAGAAAGTTCTCAAAACTCGAAGAAGGTAAAGCATACAAACTTGTTATACCTTATGAACCAAAGAAAGCAGACGACTATGAATATTATGAGTCTAAGATAGTTGAAGTTCAAGGTAAATTGGGTAAAAAGATTTTAGAGTCTAAGCCGGTGTTTGCTCCTAAAGAGGAAGAGAACATTGACATTGACCCAGAAATGTTCTAAAAATAAAATTTTATTTTTACATGTCAAATTTCTTTTTCTCTGGAACTGGTTCAGGTTCTTTCTTCTCTTCTTCTACTTTCTTTTCTTTCTTTTCTCTCTTCTTCTTCTTCTCTGGTGGAGTTATGTCAAACTTCTCAGAACCATATTTATGTAAAAGTTCTTTGTCCTTTAATAGCTCATCTATTCTGTTTTCTATTTCATCTTCAAGAACAGCGCATGTGCCTTCTTTGCATTCTAAGAACTTTTGTTGGACTTCATCTTTCCAAGAGGCGTCATCTCTGTCAACAAGTCTGTCATTGACAAACTTAAAGACTTCTCTGCCTAATGTTTTATGGTTCTTGTCATATTCCCAGAAACAGAACTTTAGAACAAATTCACCTTTCTTGTTTACACTATGTAAGATTTTATGGTCGACAGATGTTTTGCTGTCGAAAAGTTTGTCTCGAATATAGATAGCGAAATCGCTAGACATTTTCAAAAAGATAAAAATTTTAATTTTTCTAAAAATATGTTAGAAAAAAAGTTTGCTGACATTGACAAAAAATTTGAGAATGTTTTAAACAAGAACAAGAGGAAGTTAGAAAATGCTCAGATAAAACCCATACATGAAAAGTTCTTATTTGCTCAGAATGGTATAACAGGTCTAATCGCACCACCTGGGTCGGGTAAGACTTTCACTTATCTTAAAATGGCTGCACAACAACAAGAACTAGATGAGAAGAACCCATTCTATGAGTTAGTTGTTATTTGTAGTACTTCTGGTCAATTCGATCAAACCGTAAATTCGTTCAAAGATATTATAAAGAAGTCTAAGTTAGTATGTATAAAGGATACTGAGTTGTTAGATTGGATAAAGAAGTACCAAAGAAGAGTTTTGAAGTATAATGCTATAAATGAGTATATAAATTCGAAGTTTAAAGACCCAAATGAGGAAATGCAGAGAATATTAGAGAAGAAACACTTCAGAAACAAACAGAAAGAGATAGAATACATTTCGAAGAAATTGCAATCTTACGATTGGAAGACATACCCTCATAGGTGTCTTCTTATCTTAGATGATTTCGCCTCTCATCCTTTGTTAAAGAATAGAGAACAAGACATGTGTCGAATTCTTAAGAAGCTCAGACACTTTAACATCTCAGTCGTAATATGTGTACAGACAGCAAAGAGTTTAAGTAAGGATGTTAAAAGAATACTTACTGACATTATACTTTTCCCTGGATTGTCCGAAGACGATTTCATGGAACTTATGAAAGAGTCCATGGCAGGTAAGTTTGACAGACATGAACTATGGGAGAAGTACAAAGTCATACAAGACCCTCATACTTCTTTCAGAATTCATATCTACGCAAACAAAGTTCAAATTGTAAAAAGTCAAGCTTGAAAAATCTAAGTGTTTGAGTCTTAGTCTGTTGTGGTGCTGGGGCTGTCGGTTCTTCTGGCTTTGGAATGGACTCGGTTGGTGGTACGTCGGATGGAAGAGTTCTTCCTGTCTGATGGAAGAGTTCTTCCTGTCGGATGGAAGGACTTTTCCTGTCGGATGGAAGGACTTTTCCAGTTGGAAGGAAGGACTTTTCCAGTTGTCGGGAAAATATTTTTCTGTCGGATGGAAAAACTTTTTCTGTCGTTCGACCAAAAAGTTCTCAATTTTCGAAAATTTGAATGGTTTACGGACGAACAACTGGAAAAATTTTTCCAGTTGTCAAGAAAATATTTTCCTGTCTGATGGAAGAGTTCTTCCAGTTGTCGGGAAAAACTTTTTCTGTCGGATGCAAGAGTTCTTCCTGTCGGAAGGAAGGACTCGGAATGCCAGAAGGATTTGACAAGACAATTTACCTTATAGAGCTACCTGAGCCATCTGAAGTCAAGCTTGAAAAATAAATGGTTCATCTACCCTACTTGTTTGAAGTTGTCAAAATACTCTGTTATTTTTTCCTTTAACAATGGCAAATCTTCTTTGAAGGTAAGTATTGTACAACCTTTCATATCATAGTGTGTTTGAGGTAACGTATCTTGAACTATTTGTTTCACATCTTCATTTGGGGTCATTGAAATCGGTAAGTTTTCGCGATAGAACCAATTTCTGTTAGATTTGTAAATCTTAGCAAGGTCGTAAAAGCTTTTGTTGTTTCTTCTGACTAAATGCAACATAACCATATCTCTGTCTTCTTCATTTTCCATCTCTTCAGTATAAATCATATACTTATAGTTCTTTTCCTTACCTTTTGGTACCGAACGTGGTATTCTTTTCTGTATGGTTTTGTCTTTTGCTTCAATGACTTCATCTTTTGCTTGAAGTTTCTTTTCCATCTCTTCACGTTCTGCTTTATATAGTTCATCTAACATCATGAAAATATAACAAGCGTAACGAGGCGAAGCCCACATTGCAACAGCATTTACAAGAAGTCTATGAACATACCAACCTCTCAAACCATTTGGCAAATTTTGACGATTTTCGTACGGAATCTCGACCCGCGGTTTTCTACCGGTCGCAAACATATGAGGAAATTCTTCTAAAAGTTCTTTTGTCTGTTGGTTTTCAAACCAATGACGTGCTTGCTTTGTAGAACGAAGAGCATTCAAAATACTTTGCATTTGGTACATGTCATCCTTGACCGAACGAATGAGACGTAACTGTTTGTTATATTGTATGTACTCATATTCTTCATTTATGGCTTCATGAACGATAGCAGGTGTTGTGTTCTCTGATGTTGACATATCTGTCTTTACATACAAAATAAAAAAAATATTTTATAAAAAATTAGCGTTATTTTCTTACTTTCACAAAAGACCAAAAATAAACGCTTTACATGTATTTTTCAGCAACTTCGTCAAGAAGTCTGTAAATGTACCATGCATAACGAGGAGAAGCCCACATTGCTATTGAACTAACTAGGAACTTATGAACATATATACCTTTTAGATATGATGGTAAGTTTTGTCTGTCTTGGTACATCTTTTTAAGTTCTACATGTTCGAACTCACTCAAAAGTTCATGAGTGCTATTTAATTCAAACCAGTCTTGTGGTTTCTTAGTGTCTGGAGCAAAACATGCTGTCAAAATACTTTGCATTTGGTACATGTCATCTTTGACCGAACGAATGAGACGGAGTTGTTTGTTAAACTGTATGTACTCGTATTCTTCATCTATGGCTTCATGAACGATAGCAGTTGTTGTGTTCTCTGTTGTTGTCATTTCTGTTCTTACATACAAAATAAAAAAAATAAAAAAAATAAAACTAACTTTATTTTTTCTATCTTAAGGAAATTCACGATTTTCATACGGAATCTCTTCTCTCGGTTTTTCCGAGGGAAGCAATCTTATGCCATTTTACTCAGATTTTTGGTCATTTTTCAGCAAAAATAATGTTTAGGGTAGAATGTTAGATCTAACATGTTTTCTAACCTCTTTTCTAACCTCATGAATTTTCATGATTTCATCGAAACTAAACGTAAATGTTTTGTCAAACATGAACATACATGTTTTGTCAAGACTTCTTCATCGTACATTCTTTGTCATGATTTCATCGAAACTAAACATACATGTTTTGTCAAGACTTCTTCATCGTAATGAGCGTAAATCAGACAAAAATATATTTTAGGGTAGAATGTTAGATCTAACATGTTTTCTAACCTCTTTTCTAACATGGTCTAAAACACACAAAACTCATGAAATTTCATACGGAATTCAGCAAAAATAATGTTTATGTTAGAATGTTAGATCTAACCTCTTTTCTAACACGTTTTCTAACATGGTCTAAAACACACAAAACTCATGAAATTTCATACGGAATTCAGTAAAAATAATGTTTATGTTAGAATGTTAGATCTAACCTCTTTTCTAACACGTTTTCTAACATGGTCTAAAACACACAAAACTCATGAAATTTCATACAGAATTCAGCAAAAATATATTTTAGGGTAGAAGGTTAGATCTAACCTCTTTTCTAACCTCTTTTCTACCCCAGTTATTTTATAAGCGTTTTACATGGTAAACGTTATGAATTCGTGAGACTCTAAACAATTTTGTAGCTTCTATTTCTTCTGTCAGTACATCGAATGTTTTAACGATACCGAAAGTTTCTTTATACTTCTTCTTGACATCAGATAGAAGGAAATCTTCTGCAGTTGGATAGTTTTTGTTCAGAAATGCTAACATGTCCATTTTATCTTCTGCTGGCTTTTCTGCTTCTTTCTTTAAGTCTGCATAGTCGTTTCTCATACGTTCTATCTCTTTGACGGAGTAGTTATATTTCCTAATTGCTGCTTTACATTTAGAACATTGCGGGTTCATTTTTGCGTTATATTCTGAAACCTTACCTGCTAAAACAACTAAGGCGTCAATGGTTTTCTTTAACTCAAACATAGCGGGTCTTATTTGTTCGTTCCATACTTTGCCTCTTCTATCTTTATCTCTTATCTGCCATACACATTTTGCAACTAACGAAACAAAGTTGTCGTAGGTCTTAAACTCCCCGGATTTATATATGTCAGAGATGTTCTTATATACCATGTCGCAATCTTTGTCCATGACTTTGTGGTTGCAATGAAATCCAAGAAACTCATAGTTTACCTTTCGTATGAACTTCTTTATTTCTACTGAGTCAGTCAGTCCGACTTCTATTTCGTCAAATTCAGGAATAGTGAGTTTTTGCTGCTGAATTTCAGGCAATTTGGGTAAATGGTCAATAATGTCCTGCATTTCATAAAGATACTGTCCATTTGTTTCATCTTTCGCACTACAGTCTAAATTACTTGTTAAAAGTTCTTGCTTTATCTTCTGGATTTTTGTTTCAAAAGTATATGAAGAAGGAATGAAGCTTTTCATCTCTACTAACATTGACGTAGGATTCATGACTAAAGAGTTTGGTGAAGTTGTTGCTAACATGTTCTTACAATAAAAATAAAAAATATTTTTTTAAAAAAACTAACGTTATTTTTTATGTTTTTTGTGAAAGTGTCAAAAATAAATTGTTTTCTTGAGTTTTCTACGATGTTAGAAAACGTGTTAGAAAACATGTTAGATCTAACATTCTAACATAAACATTATTTTTTGGTCGTTTACACTCATTACGAAGAAGAAGTTTCGACAAAACATTTACGATGAAGAAGTTTTGACAAAACATATACGAAGAAATTCATGAAAATTCAAGAGGTTAGAAAACATGTTAGAAAACATGTTAGATCTAACATTCTAACATAAACATTATTTTTGGTGTAAATTTCATGAAAATTCATGAGTTTTCTACGATGTTAGAAAACATGTTAGAAAACATGTTAGATCTAACATTCTAACATAAACATTATTTTGTCGAAAAAAATGGTTCATTTACTCACAATATTTTTGTACAAAACGACCCCAAACTTTTAACTTCTTTTCTGCAGCTTCTAATGCTATCTTAGCGAGTTCATATTCTCTAAATTCTCTCTTTAAATCTTCTTGTTCCCATTGGTCTAGTTCGTATGGCGAGTCTCTATAACCAGAACATATCTCACGTTCATGTTCTATTTGTTTTTCATGCATTTTTCTAACTTCTTCTTCGAACAAAGGTTTTGCATTCTCTACTGTATCTTCAAGTTCTTCTTCATCTAATTTCTCATGAACTTTCTTGTCTATGGAGTCCAAAATTTTTCCAACTGCTATACAATATTTTGGAGAAGCCCACATTGCTATATAGTTTACAAGTCTTGGGTCTACATACGTTCCTCTAACCTGTTTGATTTCATCAGGAATTCCTGCATGAATTTTGTATAAAAACCAACCGCCGGAATTCCGACGGTTGCTATATTCTTCACAAAATGCCTTAAAATACTCTTCCCAGGACTTATTTTCCAACAACTTTCTAAAGTCTTTCCTAAACTGCTGACACATATTTGTTGCATTTATATAACCATCCTTGTCTCTACGTAAGACTTCAATACCGTTGTAAGTGCCTTTTGTGAATGTTTCGCCATTAGATTTGTTCGTGAACGTTTTTGCTTCGACTGTCATACTGTTCTTACAATAAAAATAAAAAAATATTTTTTGGTGGGACGTCGGACATTCGTTTGTGGCTTAACCGTCGGACCACAACGATAAAAATCTCGACAAAACATATACGATGAAGAAGTCTTGACAAAACATATACGATGAAGTCTTAACAAAAAATATACGATGAAATCTATTTCCTGTGTTGTTGTCAAAATGTCATGTTGTCACACTTTTTCAGAGAAGTTAAAATGACCGAGTGACATGGTGACACCTTCAGTAAACATCTCATTTTAACTCACTTTTTTTCTATCTTAAGGAAATTCATGAAAATTCACCTGTTGAACTTTGTATAAAAAGCAACCCGCTGTTTTCCGCGGGTTGGTATATTCTTCACAAAATGTTTGTTTTGAGGTCGAGCCACTTTTGGCTCCACCGTATTCTTTCAACCAAAAACTCATTTTTGTCGAATTCAGCACAAAATTCATGAAAATTCAAGAGGGTAGAAAAGAGGTTAGAAAAGAGGTTAGATCTAACCTTCTACCCTAAAAGTATTTTTCAATACTTTTTCAGCACTTTTCCGTAGTTGTATATGAAAGACAATTCGAGATAAAAGTCATAGTACAATGGAATAATATGCTGCACACCGTTTGTTGTGAACCAAACTTGAAAGTCAGAGAAACTGTTACTAGGTGGTTCGTAGAATTTAGAAGCAAAGTCATAAAAGTCCTTACCAATACAAAGAAAACTATTGTTGCTTGAACTGAAACTTGCATGACATATAACATTTTGAGGGTCGAACACGTTTCTATAAACTGTCAAATCTGCTGGTGGAAGTATAAATTTAAAAGGACCGTCAGGTGGTAATGGTTCGTTCTGGTTTAGTAACCGAAGAAATTGTGCCCAAGAACGTTTGTCTACTTGCCAAAATAAAAACTGTGTATCTCTTGGAGGGTTAATTTCAATCTTTTGAAATGAAACTGTGGAGTTCATCTTGTCATATTCTAGTTTCAGATAGTACGTTCCGTTTAGTAAAGAGTCGTATTTTTCTTGAAATTCCCAATAGTATTTGTTTATTTGAGTTTGAAAGTCATTTAGAGTCTTCTCAAGACTTTCGTCTGAACGAACTGTAAAGATTCTCATTTCGTCAAATTTGTCTATTAGACCATCATCACCTTTATACTGCCCATGAAAATCTACTGCGAACATAAATGCGTTCGTTCTATTTGAAAACAAAACTCTTCTAAATCCTATTGCCTTTGCATCTGAAGGACTTTGAAGCCAACGAATTGGATAGTCAAACTTGTATGAACGGGATGAAATTTCTTCATCTGAAATAGTCCTACCGGCATTTGTATAGATATAGTCTAACGGTTTTGTATCTGCTACTTTTGTTCTTTGTTTTTCAACCTGAAACATTTAATATATGTAAAAATATACTGTTTTAAAATGGTATGCCATATAGCTTCTTGAATTTGTTAAGAAGTATTTTAACGCATTTTCCATCTGTATCTCTAGTGTTTACATAAGCATAGCCTTCCTTAGTAAAATATACTTGTAATTTCCTATAGTTTACGCCGGTATAAAAGTAGAAAGAGTCTTGTTCTTCGTTATAGTAGTAAAACTCAAACGTATGCTCGCCATAGTCTGTAATTTCAATTGTTTCATCTTCTAGTTCGTCGACAAATTCGAATACAATATCTCCAATTTTGCTTTTGTTCTTATTGTTTTCAGAACAAGTGACCCAACGTAAGTTTTCAAGTCTATTGTCGTTTCTTATATGGTTTATATGGTCTACAAAAGGTAAATTGTTAGGGTTCGGTATAAAATGAGTTGCAATGACAACATGTTTAAGATATTGTTTTCCACTCATATCCATAATAGCATATCCGTCATTTCGCTCCCATCCGCTTAAAACTCTTTTTGTCTTTTTGTTTCTGACTTCAAATGACTCACAACAGTGAATTTCATATTTCTCATCTAACAAACAAGTTTCCCAACGGTCTTCTCCAACAAACTCAGCGTACATTTCAAATAAAATAAAAAAATATATTTTTAAAAATATGTTGTTTTAAATGGTATGCCATTTCATATTTCTCATCTAACAAACAAGTTTCCCAACGGTCCTCTCCAACAAACCCAGCGTACATTTCAAATAAAATAAAAAAAATATTTTTTTGAAAAAATATTTTTTTTCTTTACTTTACATAACCGCCTGCTACCAGAAGCCTTTGACGCCAACCCATACCAGCTAATGAAGGTTGAGTTGGTTTAGTTTCCAAACTAAACTTTGGTTTTGGTTTATCTTCAGTTTTTGGTTTTTCTTCTTCTATCGGTTTTTTGTCACTTTTCGGTTCCTCTGACTTTACCTCACCTGCAGGAACAGTTGTGTCGTCAACATCTTCATAAATATCATATGCCATTTGTTTTTTTTTCCTTTCAACTTTTTGTGTTTGTTGTAAAGTTTAGAATATTTCGACTCTAAGTCAATGAGATGTTCTATAATGAACTGTTGGTCAGTGAAGTATACTTTCCATCTGTTGTCTCGAAAGCTCCTTCAGACTTCAATATTTTATTTGTGAGAGTCTGTTTCTTTTTTGAGATACTTGCCGTTCCATTTCTATGAAAAGTGACTTTGTAGTTAGGGTTTGTATTTCCAGACCTGGCACTTTCTATTATTGAATTTTTCTCTTCATCTGTAAGTTCTTTGACAGGTTTTGACAATGGTTCTGAACTTTTTGTTTGTGGTGTCAAATCTACCGTTTCAACTTCTTCGGTCATTTCATCTCAGTAAAAAATTTTAGTTTGGTTTGTTTTCAACTGGTTGTTGTTGTTTTTAAGTCGGTCTAAAACTTCCTGAGGTATAGGAAGAACTTGACAAACACGTTGTGTAACTGCTGGAAGCCGACAAATCCATCTTGAACCCATTTGTCTCAATGCTGTATTGTTCATTTCATCTCAGTAAAAAACTTTACATTCCCCACGTTTGAGGCGGTTGAGGTTGGTTATTGTTTACCCATTGTTGTGCATGGTTATATCCTCTGTTAAAGAATCTTTCACCTTGGTCCATATAGTGTCCTGCTTGGTTATAGTAGTCATTTGCTTTGTTATAGTAGTTTCCTGCTTGTCTTCCTACATTGTCCATCCATCCTTGAACTTTTCCTCTTGTTTCAGGATTTGGAATAAGATTTGCTGCATCTCGTGCTACATCCCAACCTTTCTGTACGGTTTGTATAATAGGTTGCGCTTTCTCTTTCAGTATACCTAATGTACTCAAAATCTTCCTTCCAACTCCAAATACACCTCTGGCTATTGTTCCCACTGCG